TGTATATGTATATGTATATGTATATATATATGTATATGTATATATATATATATATGTATGTATATGTATTCTGTTTATGTATATACTGCATTCTATATATAGTACCAGTCAAAAGTTTCGACACAAGAATGGGAAAGTGTCCAAACTTTTGACAGGTACTATAATATACACATAAAGAATATCGGCCGATATATCGGTACTGCCTTTTTTTACTCCCTAATATCGGCATCGGCCCTCAAAAAGCCCATATCGGTCGGGCTCTGCTTCAAATTACATTATTAGTAGAGTTTGCTAAGTCAAGCATCACTATCATTAGTTACTAGCCTGTAAAAAGTGCAGCAGTGCCACGGTTTGACTTTAAATGTTCAGTGTTCACATTTATTTAATTAAATCATTGCCTTTTAAAGTTTAATAATCACATTAAGCCATATTGTGATTCCTGTTTTTCTATTTCCAAATTTAAATCCTCTTAAAGTGAGAATTAAAGGGGTGCTATTATGCTTTTTCACTTTTTCAACTTCAGTTAGTCTGTAATGTTGATGTTTGAGCATAAAAAAGATCTGCAAAATTACAAAGCTCAAAGTCCACTTCAAAAGGAGATATTTTATTTAACAGAAATCACTTTTCAAAAACTACAACGAACAACTCGTTTGGACTACAAAGCATTATGAGAGCCTGTTCTAGTTTAAGACTTTTGTAATACCATTTAAAATATGAAAGGCTTTTTAAGGCTCCTTTTTAAGACTCCTATTTTAACTGACTGAAATATGTGATGACAATTGTGTCTGTCCTCTCAGATTGGTTGAAGTGTCGTGTTACGGTTCTCAGATCTGCCTGTATGATGTCGAAATGGCTGTTCCTTCAGTGCTCAAACCGGACCTTATAGACGTGTAAGTAGTCATAAACTCTGTTCAAGGTGCTATTTGCCATCAGTTAACATAATGGTGGATTGTTTCATAATCATGCTAAATAAACGTCTTTGTTTTGCAGGCATGCGCAGTCATTGGCTGCTCTGCAGGCGTATTCTCATTGGCTGGCTCAGTTTTGTGGGGAGGTGCAGCGACAACAAGATCAAACGCAATTTATGGATCTCATCACGTCGAGCATGGCTGCCACGACCCCTCTCATCAATGCCAAGGTGATTTGATCTTTATGAATGAGCTTCAATGCTCATTTAAAGTAGGACATAGAAATTGCAAGTTTAAAATACTCAAAGCATGTTTTGTTCTATCTATATATATTTATATACATACATACATACATACATACAGGGGTGCACATAAGTTTTCAGTCTGGTTCTCATGAGCGCACCTGGAGATTCAGTTTGATGCTTACATTGTACATAGTGTGATCCATTAAATATAACTATAAAAAATAAAATAATTAATAATAGTATTATTGTACTTTTAGTTAGTTTAAAAAAATAAAGAAAATAATAAAGTGTAATTAATACTATTATATTTTAAATAAAAAATTAGTAATTTAGTAAATTTTTTATATGAATTTTCAAACCTCAAATCAGCAAGCTTTTATTTTGGCAGGTTGCTGGGAAGTAAGCATATGACCTGCTGATTTTAGCGCTGCCGAGTGAAGCACTTCAGTGAATGTCACAGTTTTGTGTTTTGCTCTGAAACCGGCAGATTTATGCATTCAGTTTGAATGTAAATCTAATGCAGTATTACAGTTAGTCGATCTAAAGCGGTGATTGTGCATTAACAGCTGTCAGCCATGTCAACAATTTTTATTTTGGTCTCTCATGCACACCTGCACACCACTTATGTGCACCCCTGTACATGTATATAATTACATGTGAATTATAGGTCAATCAATATTGGATTTTGCTGATATAATGAAGACAGTAAACATTATTGTGCCAATACTATCTATTTAAATCGGGTGCATTCTAGTCATTTTAGCAAGATGGTGACATACCTTTTTGTAAAGATTTGAAACTATTTTTACTAAATGATGGCTAAAGAATGCTCATTAGTGTTTTTATTTTGTTTTTATTAATTTTATGAAGGTGCTGTAATTTGAATTGTTATATATTATATCTTAATTGTACGATACTATGGTATTTTGTACATGTAACTTGGTTTTATTGTACATGAAAAATTATTTCAACAGATTTAGTCAATACAGACACTGCGTCCATTGCACAAGTTTCCCCATGCATAATGCAGGACTTGTAATTATGAACAAGCCTAAAATAAATTGGGACACTTGTTTTGAAATGGCTATGCTCAGCATTTCTGAAGGATCATTTGACACTAAAGACTGGAGTAATGATGCTGAAAATTCAGCTTTGATATATATATATATATATACACACACACACACACTTTTTTATTTATTATTTTAGTTTTTTTGAAAAGCTTGCTTTTTACCAGTTAAACTTTAGATTATTTTCAAAAATGATAATAATTTAAATCATCATGTGTCCCTCAGGTAAAGCGGTGATCCAGCAGACTCTGTGTGTGTTGAGGGATCTGGTGGACAGTATATCAGGAGAGGCCACCAAATCCCGTCAGATCTGTTACCACAGCCTGCAGGAGTCAGTCCAGGTCACGCTCGCGCTCTTCCCCCTCTTCATCCAGCAGCCAGGTAACAAAAGCAGGGTGGCCGCGGGTCCTTAAAAAGTCTTAAAATGTCTTAAATAAAGTTTTCCTAAAATAAGGCCTTAAAAAGTCTTAAAATGTCTTAAATTCAGATTCAGTAGGTCTTAAATATTTTTGGTCACATTACCACAAACATTTGTGAGTGTCCATCAAGAGTACTTTTCCCTCGCTGTAGTTACCGCGTCATCAGAGAGAATTGCGGTTACAGAATACAGTCGAACACCAGCTCGCTGTCCAGCCTCTGAACTACTTTAAATGGGTTCATGCAAGTTTACTGAAAAATGGCATCAGAATTGTACTTGCCCGACAGGACTAATGGCCTGATTAAAACTTAAGTGACAAAAAAATAATCACGCATCAAAATGCGCGAATGATTCTTCTGATTTTATTACATTTAGCTTAAACAGTGATTGATAATGGATAGTGTATTTCTATGATCAATGTCGCGCTGTTGAGGCTCTCCGTGAGAGACTTTCATGGAGAAATCAAATCAAATGAGCGTAACGACACACATAAAGAAACTCGCAGAACAAACATTAAGGTTGAGGTCAAAATTCAAAATGTTTAGTATATTCATAGCATGATATAGTTAAGTAACATACCATGACAAGGGAGCTATTTTGCTGAATATTTTCACGATTGCAAATGTTACACTGATTTTAGTTCAACAAGCAAGTAGTAAAGTATATGAAGTTACTTACATTTTAGACACAATTGACTGTTTTGTTCTATTTCACCAACGAAAATAGTTCCAAACAAAGATCGGAACAGAATTATTGCACACACTCTCAAAGCAACGCTGGCGTTTTTGTTACTGAATGATTCAGCGGTTTGAAGGAATCTGTTTAATGAATAAGTGACTTACCGCCACTTACTGGCGGTTTAGTCTCATGCTTAAAAGTTTGCATTTTTCCCCAACATTTCTCATTTGTATGTTCAAAATTTTATTTACAACATTAATCTCATAACATTGTTTATTGCAGTTGTAATTTTGCAGTGTAAATTATTTAATTTGATTGGTAACAGCCCTGTAGTGTATTAAATTTCTTGATCAATTGTTAGAATTTGACATGAAAGATGACACATTTAATAAGGTAAAAAAAATATTGGCCTTTATAAAGGTAAATGACATTATGTGGTAAATATTAAAAACATGCAGATTTAAGTATGTAAAAGCTGACAGAAAACTGATGAAAATATTTCTTCAGAATAAATTGTTTACACCACCAAAAATCTCAGTGATGCGACACTTTTGTGGGAATATTTTGTATGGGATATTGTCTGCTAATATGAAAAGTTCACTGTATATCGTAATAACAAATAGCATTTTTGACAGCGATGATATTTTGTTTTCTTTTTACATTTAAACGTGTTAAATATTACATATATGTATGTAATACAATGTGTATTTCCATCACAGGTTTGGTCTTAAATTTCACATAAGGTGGTATTAAAAAGGTCTTAAAAAGTCTTAAATTTAACTTGTTCATATCTGTAGACGCCCTGAAAAGAATCGCTTGAATAGCCAGCGAACTTTCTTCTTCACTGCCTTCTAGTGTTGTAATCGTTATTTGCTCAGTTTCACTGGACTGACATCTTGTCTTATGCATTTTCCCTCTCTCAGATGTGACCGATGAGATGCTGAGTTTCTTTCTCACGCTGTTTCAAGCGCTGCGTGTGCAGATGGGCGTGGCCTTCACAGAGCAGATCATCCAGACCTTCCTCAGCATGTTCACCAGGTCACCTTCACAGCTTTTGTTGACAATGAGAGCTATTATCAGTTGTTCCTGAATCTGTATGGGTGCTAATCAATCATGTGTAACTGCTTATTGATGTCACGCTTATCTAACTTGGCTCAATCGTCACCATGTTCCTCAGAGATCAGCTGGCGGTGAGCATCTTACAGGAGGGCAGCTCTGGCTCCAAAGTGGTTCAGAAGTTTCTCAAGATTCTGCAGGTAAAAGGAACAAAAGCAGCTTTGTGTTTGGCTTTCTGTGCTTATTAAACATGCTACTCACGTTTTGTCTGTGGATTATTGTTTCAGGTGGTGGTTCAAGAACCCGGTCAGACCTTCAAACCTCTCTTACCCAGCATCCTCAGCCTTTGTTTGGATCAGGTTTACCCAATAGTGGCAGAGGTATGAGGCATGAATTAAAAGACACCCAACCTCAGAGCGCTTAAGTTAAAGTCGATGAATTTATGGTTAAAAAAAACAACAACAACAGAAATTTACTGTAAGAATATGTTTCAGATATTATGGGATGATATATTGGTGCCTATATATATTTTACATCTCATGACCATATATTTAAATAAGTGATATATATTAGTAACCCTGTAAAGTCTGACATATGAAATAATAGTGTACATTTAAAAAAAAAATAATCCTGATAACCTATAATCCTTTATTGATCCTGTTAACATATGCAAACTTTTAGATTTTGTATTTTCAGCTTTATGGCTCATACATTTTCAAAAAGATGAAATTCTGATAGCCTGTAATGTAAAGCAATGATTTTTTTACAACACTAATACAGACTACTTAAAATATATATGAATATTACTTCTGTAAAAAAAAAAAAATTGTGTAGAAACCAGAACGCAGAACATTTAATACATTTGCATCTACAAGACAAATGCTAATTGTAGACAGTAACTAAATACAAACACTTACAATAAATTATACATGATTAATACAGAATATTTTCATTATTTAAAGATTAAAATGGTTTAATTAAAATAAAAAAGGTTTTAGCTATCTAAAGGTCCCTTAAAACGTCTCTAACGTTTTTCTTTCTGGAAGTTCTTGTACTGATCTTGGTCTCTGTGTTCAACAGCGTTCCTGTCCAGATGTGAAAGCCGAGATGTTTGAGCTACTCTTTCAGATTCTTCATCAGAACTGGAGGTTCTTCTTCAAAAGCTCAGTGTTGAGCAGCGTTCAGAGAAGCGGAGCCGAAGAACTCATGGAGAACCAAGCGCAGTTCATTGCTGCCATGCAGGTATCAACCGCACATGCATAACTGCCCCAAAAACACATCTCAACCAAGTCTGGTTCTCCCTTCCATACTGATCTGATTCAGTCTGATTCGCTGATTCAGAGTTTGATTCATTCATTATAAAGAACTACATCAATCAACTATTTCAATGGCACTGTAGTGTGTGTGTGGAGTCAGCCCAGTTTTCAGCAACGTTTCTGGCTTTTATTGTTTATTAATATTTTTGTGTCTTAGTGCAATGTCTTTGATTTGCAGGCATTCGGTCAGTCTTTTCTGCAACCAGACATTCACATCTTTAAACAAAACTTGAGTTACTTGGAGGTCCTGAACACCAAACACAAGCTCTACCACAGGGTAAAAGAAAATGTATTTCTTTTTTTATTTGATAGATTTCTACATTTCAAATATTTATATTTGTTATATTTTCATTTTATTTATATTTAAAAATATGTAAATGTTATTATTAATTTATATTTAATATAAATAGAAATGTAAATTATATTTCATATATAAAAAAATAACTAACATGTAATATAAATAAAAATTGAATTCATATTTAATAAACAAAAAATGTAACTTATTTAATATAAATATATTCATATAAATAAAAAATACACTTGTATTTAATATAAATTAAAAACTAAACTATTTAAAATGTTTGTTTTATTTATATTTAATATGTAATGAATGTTTAATTTAATTTTAATTAAGTTATGTTCAATATAAATAGAAATTTAACTCATATGTAATACAAATAAAATTGAAATCATATTTAATATATATTGAAGATAAATTAAACATTAAATAAGTTTTTTATTCATATTGAGTATGTTTTAGTTAAATTTTTTATTTATATTTAATAAATTATAAATTAAAATTTTATTTAATATAAGTAAAAATTTCAGTAATATTTAATATAAATTAAAACTGAAACCCATTAAATGTTTAATTAAATTTCTTTTTGATTTATAGGTGTAATGTATTTAATTCACATTCATTTATTTTTATGTTTTGTTCACGTTCATTGCAGAAGCTGTTCCGGAACACTATGCTGTTCCACTTCTTAAACGTTCTTCTGCAAGTCCTCCTGCACAAGAGTCACGACCTCCTCCAGGACGACATCACGCTGGCGCTCTACAACATGGCGGCTGTGGATTTCCAAGCATTCTACTCTTCCTTCTTGCCAGAGTTCCTCAATGGCTGCCAAGGCCTCGACCCACACCAACGCACAACGCTTGCCCGAAACTTCACGCCAGAGAGGGTGAGTGAACATGACTGATGCCATTAATACCTGAAGCGCCAATTACATCAGGAAATTGTGTTTTTTACAAATGTGAAGCCTTGGAACATAGTCTGGCTTTTTTGACAGAAATATTTTTAATGAAAAAATTAAAATGGAAAAAAAATTTAGATTATAATTTCCACCAAGAAAATTAAGGCTGTTTTAGGAAACCTTGTTTTAAACTGAATATGTTTGTGTGTGTGTTTATTTATTTTAGGGCTGTCGAGCGATTTTAATTTTTTTTAATCTAATCTAATAATCTAATCTAATTACACAATGTGCCGATTAATTAATCTAATGAATCGTAAATGTCGTTAATCACACATCAGCTTGGTCTGAAAAATTAAAATAGATTATAATTTGCACCAAGAAAATTAAGGCTGTTTTAGGAAATACTGTATATACTGAATATGTTTGTTTATATATATAAATATTATAAATGATAAAAACATCACTTTTTTTCTTTTTAATGTTCTTGCTGAATAAAGTATTCATTATATACATATTATACACAAAATAATTATATAATACTTATTTCGCATATTTTGTTTACATGTGTGTGTATGTGTATATATATGTATATATATGTGCCTGGAGAGCCGCAGAATTCAGCTCCAACCCTAATTAAAACTCACCTACCTGTAGCTTTCTAGTAACCCTACAGACCTTGATTATCTTGTTCAGGTGTGTTTGATTAGGGTTGAAGCAAAACTCTGCAGGGCTGCGGTTCTCCAGGACCGACATTCGCCACCCCTGGTCTAGGACATTTAAGACTATCATTT